GAAATCAGTATTCCCAGGACAACTCTTGGCTTTCGGGTCCACACTACTGATCACTAAGAAAAGTCTGTCAGATAGCAAAAGAATATCCAAATGTGTCCTGTGGAGAAGACTGTATGCTTTTTATTTAGACTAAATAAACCGTAAGTCTAAGAATTGTTAAGGTGAGAAAGAAGGCTTGTCAACTGTGTAATCGGAGTGCCTGGTCTTTCCATTATGATTGTGCATGATCATAATGCCTACTGTGTACACAGAGCACTCTGCTAGGCATTGTGGGAGAATCCCACTCTCAAGGATTATATTTTTGTTAGGCAGAAAACCTAGGTGCTTATGAAAGGATTTATGAATTTTCAAAGCAGTGTTAATACAGAACATCTCACGAGAATGCGAAAGTTTAAGTCCTAAAAGAGTAAAACAAGAATTATATAATTTAGATGGGGAGATGATTTCTTAGAGAGTGTATTTTGATTTGAGCCTTTTGAGGGAAGTGATGAATCCAGATAGGCAGTTACGCTACTCTGAATGGGTAGCAATATATACAGAGGCAAGATGAAGAGACAGAGAAAGTTAGGTTTTATGTAAGGTAGGAGGTCAGTTGGCTAAAGTGTATTTTAGGACTTACTAATCAACAAGTTTTCTTCTGCCATATGTATATGTATCGTGTATCTCATAAAATTATTGTGAGGATTAAATGAAAACTAACCCAATGCTTGGCACATATTGGGTGCTTTGTGCTTTCATAAATACTATCGGTTGGTCATCATCATCATAGTTTATGTTGTTCTTAATTCTCATTGAAACCTGTATATGCATATATTTTCAGTGGCAAAATTCACTCTTGTTCTATAAAATATTGAGCAAAAGTACTAAATAAATATGCAGTGCCATTCTGTAATACTTCATTGTTGTCCTTATTGAATTAAGGAGAAAATTGATGCCAAAATCTCTTTTCTGGAAGTAGATGATCAGGGACAGAGCCTGAGGAGAACGCATCTTAGGTCCAGTTTTCAACAACGGGTGTTAAGGAGTATCGATTGACAGCTGCCTTGGATTCTTCTGCGCCCTATGCAAACTTGATTTCCTTGATGCTCACAGAAGTTGTAAAACTATTGGATACAGTTTTTTTTTTTTTTTTTTAATCATTTTTCAGCTGAGGAAATTAAGACTCAAGTCACAAGATTGTTGTTGTTGTTATGTGCCGTGGAGTCGGCCCCAACTCATAGCGACCCCTCCTTGGGTTTCCGAGGCAGTATCACTACAGAAGTAGGATTGCCCAACTTTCCTTCCGAGGAGTGGCTGGTGAGTTTGAACCGCCAGTCTTCTGGTTAGCAGTCAGGAGCCTTAGGCACTATGCTACCAGAGCTCCCAGTCACAAGATTAGTGAGCAAGAAATGCATTTATAATAATGACAAAAAAAGGGTGGGCTAATGTTATATTTTGAATCAGTGTCTGAAATAACTGAAGGATAAAGAATAGTAAATTAGAACACATGACAGAGATCACTGAAAAATGAGATTCTGTATGTCTTAAGTGTGATTGTCATCTCTTTAGCATTTTAGCTTGTTGACAACTAGAACTGTAAGTTTCATTTTTCAAAATCAATTAACTTTTTGGTAACGGAGTCACAGAATGCCACATTTTACTCTTCATGATTTTCACTGAAAATTTGTAAGCTTCAATTTTTAAATGTTCCAAAGATAGGATCTTTCATATCTTTACAGTTGTTTATCTGTCAAATATTTTTAAAGCCTTTATACTCACTGTCATCATGTCAATTCTGACTCATAGCGACCCCTATTGGTTTTCCAATGCTGTAAACCTTTCCAGATTTAGATTGCTTCATCTTTCTCCCATGGAGCAACTGGAGGTTTGAACTGCCAATCTTCTGGTTAGCAGCCAAATGCCTTACCCACTATGCCACCAGAGCTCCCTTTAAGCCTTTATAGAGCAAGCATGTGTAATAAACACAGGACGTCACCACAGTTTTGACTGAGGGATACATTTCAGCACTTGGAAAACTCTATAAACCTATTGCTGTCAAGTTGATTCTGACTCATGGTGACCCCACCTGTTACAGAGTAGAACTGTACTTTGTAGTGTTTTAATGGCTGTAATGTTAAATAAGTAGATCTCTAGGCCTTTCTTCCATGACACTACAAGGGGAATTTGAACCACTAACCTTTCAGCTAGTAGTCAAATACAAACCACTTGTGCTACTGAGAGTGGCCTTAAAAAAAGTTCTATAATGTGATGTAAAATAGCACTCAAACTTCTCAGTCATCTAGATTTCAAACTTTGGGGTCTATTTTGAAAATCTTACTCTTGTCCTTATCACTTATCAAGTTCTGCACAATCTTTTTCCCCTAACTACTTTTCACACAAATGTCATTGCTTCCTTGAAGTCTGCCCCTGTTGTTGTTGTTGTTATATGCCTTCGAGTTGGACCCAACTCATAGACACCCCTCTTTGGGTTTCCGAGGCAGTATCATTACAGAAGTAGATTGCCCAGCCTTCTTCCGAGGAGTGGCTGGTGGGTTTGAACCACCAGCCTTCTGGTTAGCAGTCAAGTGCCTTTGGCACTACGATACCAGAGCTTCTGACCCCTAATGCATAGGATCGTCTACTTTGGTATATCCATAGTAACAAGAAAACCCATACCCACAGCTATCACTTCATTTCCCTCCATAGGAAAGAGTAGAACTGCCCCCATTGGGTTTCCAAGGCTATATGTAAGTCTTTACTGAAGCAGACTCCCACATCGTTCTCCTGTGGAGCAGTTAATGGGGTCAAACTGAACCACCCCCCCTTTCAGTTAGCAGCCGTGCATTTTAGCTGCTGTGCCACCAGGATGTTAAATTAGTGTAGTAAACTATAAAGTGTGATTTTTTTTTCAACTTAAAAAACCAATGTCTCCATTTCAGTATGAGCCAATGACCATATCTTATTCAACAGTATGTTTTCACTGTTTAATACATTGCATAAGGAGCTCTGGTGGTACAGTAGTTAAGGCACTTGACTGATAACCAAAAAGGTTGGCAGTTTGAACCTACCAGCCACTGCAAAAGAAGGAGGAGCGGAAAGATGAAGCTGTTTGCTTCCTTAAAAAATTATAGCCTTGGAAACCCTACGGGGCAGTTCTGTTATACCTATAGGGGCACTGTGAATTGGAATTGACTGGATGGCAGGGGGGTATGATAGTGGATGCTTAGCTTAATGATTTAGTGCAATTAATTGCTTTGGGTATGGTGGAACCCTAGTAAAATTTTTCAGACAAGATGTGACATTTTGTGATGATAATCAAAACGTAAATGAAGGGGGAAAAAAAAAAACCCAACAAAAATCCAAATAGAGATAATGTTCTTGAATTTATGTAGTTTTTCCGTGAGCTTTGTTATTGTTGGCCTGCCAAAAAGTAGCTCAAGGTTAAACCAGACTCAGGCTTTTACTCCACAGATGATAACTGCCCCTCCCTGTATTAGATTTTTATTAGTGGTATTATTTTAAAAGACCAGGATCGATTTAACTAAATAAGGATAAAGATCAAATTAATGCCCCCAAACTAGATCTGGTTGTAACTTTTTGTGTTAAGCGCATCCCCGGCCCTAACTACTATTCTGAGGGGTTGTAGGTTTTGAAATTCAAAGTAGGTTTTGAAATTCAAAGTAGTGTCTACTGGATACTAGAGTTTGTAATGTTTCTTTTGAGGAATATGAACTCGCCATGCATATAAAACACACTCAGATGTAAAGCAGTAAAGTGAACCCTGCTCAGTAGCAGTTCAGATAATGAAATGGAAAGTTTGTGTCTGAGTTGTAGAGGATCTTCCATTTTGCTTGTTCCTGCCATAATCATGTAATCTAGAAATTATGAAGAGTTCCTGTCATACTGAATGCAACAGTTTACTCAGTGGGTCACGCACGGTTGAAGAACACTGAGTAGGGGTAGTAAAACTTGTTAAAATGTCAGTCCAGGAGGTGCTTCAGAATTGTGAACATTCAGATTAGTTTTAACATTTCAATACTTGTGCAGTCATTTTTGAATGTTTCACTCTTTGTTTAGACTTACTGAAAATCTTCCCTGATTGCATCACTATTTTAACTGTGACCCTCCTCCAACCAAAAAAGTACTCGCATAACTTTTTATTTATTCTAAAAAGACACAGTAGTTCTTAAAATGATGATACACTTCTGTGCAGAGATTATTGTTTAAGTGCTTTTAATTAAAGGAATAGGCTAAATTACACACATTTGTGCTTTTTAAAAGTATCAATGTTTGAAATTTATATATTATAGTTTAATATTCCCCTTATGTCTAGCATTATTATTTAGGTTGATTTTAAGGTAATATTTAACAGTGTGTGACTTCAAGAATATCTTCAAGTCCACAATATAAAAATCTCAGCTGTTTAGGAGATGTAATGTTTAAATACATATTAAAATGTTTTATTATAATAAAAAAGTTAGCACTTTGGGGCTGATTCTGACTTCAAGTTTATTTTTTGAGCCTCATATAGTATGTTCAAATTGACCCATTCATCAATTTTATGAGTAACGTAAGTAAATTTAGTTCATCTACATATTTATATACTTTAAATAGGCCAATGTAAACAGTTTCTTATCTGCCATATGTTGAAATGCTTTAGTAAAGACCGAACTGCTTAGTCAACAGAGATGGCATTGAATTGCACTGTTTTGGAAAAAAAGTTAAGTGAACTAGATGCCTGTTAATCTGGTTCTTTAAATATCATAAACAAAAGTATCAGAATGTGTTTCCAAGGACAAAGGCGGAGTTCTCTAGGCTTTGATTGGTTGCTGCCTTGTCCAGTCCCACAGCCATCCTTAATTGGCTTTGGGTAGATTGGAATCACAGAAGCAGGGTGACATTTATTACTTTCCTAGTTGTTTCTTTGCACTGAGCCCTGAGATTCTCAAAAAGTAACCGTGAAAGATTTCTTTCATTTCGTCCATGATCCACAAGAGGGGATCATTCTAAGAGGAGCAGGCATGAGTTTGAGTGCGAGAAGAGTCACTTTGCCTGCAATAACGCCAATAGTTCTACAGAAAAGGGTATGTGACTCCTTTTTTCTTTCTTCTCCTCCTTCCTTTTTTTTTTTTTTTTACTTTGTGGGAAGCTTTAGTCACTATCTTGAAAGAGACTATAAGTCATTGAGGCTGTAGGTAATTAAAGAATATACCTATTTGGATTGAACTAGGGAAAAAAAATGCTGAATTAGAATATCGCTGTAGTAAAAGAAATTCCATGTATAAGCAGTTTGGCCTCTACTCCTGGTCATTGTGATTTAGGAACTGCACTGAAGCTTTTTTCTTTATCCTTCTTTAACTTGAGGCCTGTTTGTCGTTGGTTCAATAGGAAATCTGCTACCCATGTTTTTTACATATATGTATTTACTAAGGAAAAGTTTCTTTATTTCACTGTAATTCGTAATATATTCATCTTCATTGTTGAATGGGTTATATAATTGTTTTACTTTCTAAATATATGGCACCACTTTATTATCCTAACGTTTCTACTCATTTCTATTGAGAATCTTTCTGTTTGCTTAAGAAAAAAACTTTCCATTAAATTCTCCAGGGAAAAGATTTTCTGTTAATTATTAATGCTATCCATCTTGTATATGAAAATAGTTTAACTATTAATTTTTTTGTAAAGATTATTCTTATTTGTTACTCAACAGCATTGCATTTTAGAAGGTGATACATTATACCCTGTACAGTAGCCCCGTAAATAAAGTGGATATACTTCTCCTGTAAATACACCAAATAAGAATATTGCATTGAAATCCTTAAAGAATCCAGCGCATTGAGAAAGAAAGCACCAACCTGTGTTTTTGAATATATGCTTTCTGAATGGTTTTACTAACAGAAGTTCTTAGTGTTTATTTCCTACTCAAATTTTAATAGTTTAACTCTGAACTTTTTGTGTACTTTTACTGATGTTTCAATTGACTTGAAATACGACAAAGCTAACAGTTAAGGCTCTTTTTTTTTAATTATTTTTTTGTTTTTTTGTTTTTAGGTTTTCAATTTATTTTCTTATGCATATGGAGCATTTATACACTGTTGTTGTTGTTGTTGTTATGTGCCGTCGAGTCGGCCCCGACTCATAGTGACCCCTCCTTGGGTTTCCGAGGCAGTATCACTACGGAAGTAGGATTGCCCAACCTTCCTTCCGAGGAGTGGCTGGTGGGTTTGAACCGCCAGCCGTCTGGTTAGCAGGCAAGTGTCTTAGCCACTATGCTACCAGAGCTCCCATTTATACACTAGGAATATTTTAATTAGCATTGAAATAACTATATAGTAATTTTTCCAGCACTGATTTTTAATTTCTTTAATCTATATAACTTAAGGAAACTTAAAAACATTTCTCTTTGAGTTTGAATCTTAATTTTAGAATTAGGATTTGTGGAACATTAATCGTGACAGTGTAGGTCCTCTGATGTATTGGGGATACAAACATTATATTAACATATATCAAACCTATGTTCCTGTGTTTGCATTCTTCCTTATTAGTTAATATAAGGTGTTTAGATGGGCCAAGGCACTTTCATGGTGTGGTTGGTTTGGACATGCAGGTTGGTGTGGTAGAAAGCCTATCTCCAGGACTCTCCTTTACTAGCTGTGTGACCTTGGGCAACTCATCTGAACTTTCAGTCTTTAAGATTTCATCTGAAAGATAATTGCTGAAGAATTTTCATCAAATGATCTTTTGAGTTCTCTTTATGTGTATAATTCTGTGAATCAAAAAATATATTTTATGTTTTCATAGTTACAGTAAACTGAGCCATTTATTGTCATTTTATATAATGTGTACAGCATTAGAGAAAGATGTCATTTTCAACAACTTTGTGTATTTAGTCTAGGAGAAATTGATATGAGCAAAACTTGGCTAGAAAATAACTTCAAATAATTTCAGGCACAGAATGATAAGTAGCAAAACAAGACTGCTCTGGAAAGCTGTGATTATTATTAATGTTAGATCTCAGCTGTCAATGGCTAGCTATTATTGTGATTTCTTTTGGCCTTTTCATAATAAGCTTCTTTAGGTTTCTATTATATAGCTATGTGTGTCAAAATTCTTTTAAACTCAAAGCCATGTTATTTCTTTTCAGCGTGTATGCATATTAAGCATTCATATAATTTAGCTCATCATCATCATTTGCTGAAAGTACTCATGCTGTTCCTTGCTCCTGACATTTTAATTCTCAGAGGACCCATTTATCTATTCAATTTCTCTGAAAATCTCAATAGCTCTTGTTTTTTAGGAATTGGATCATTTTTCGGACTAAAAAACATCCATCTGCTCTGGTCACACTATGACTAAGTTTTCTTTTCTTTCTTTCATTTTTTTTTCTGTCAAGATAGGAAAGCAAACAGGAGCATTATTCCACACTTGTAGCTAATTTAATTTCTATATGTGCCGTAATTTAAAATGATCTTACAAACCTAGTACAAGCATTTCTCAGAGTATTTTGGGGGACAGAGTCTCATTTTGCCAAGAATGAGTGCCCTTTTTTCCACAGGTTTGGCATAATGTTTGCTCATCCAGAATGAGTGGATGAAAAATGATCTACCAACTGGAACCCTAATCATTTGAAAGGCTAAACACATTTCTGAAAATGCTCAATAGCACTACAGAGTGATTTTCTCATCAGCAAGTGTGTCTGATCTAAATGGCCATACGATTTTCTTGTGAGTGGTTGGGAACTTGAATTTTAAACATGGTCCTTAACATGAAGTCCTTTTATAACTCATAAAATACTCTGATTTTTGAGAAGCGGTGTGTTTTGACAGAATCTCTGTTAAGTAAATGAGAAAATAAAAAATTGCTTTCCTCTTACTCTAGTAGGATCTGATTTCCCTAGATTTAGAAAGTTCTGATAAAGATGTATCACATGCCGCAGAATTATCGTATCCTCACCAAATGATCCGAATGAATCCTTTAAGTCATAGCATTTTTCTTGGATAACTAATAGGTCATGACTTACTTTTTTTTTCAGATGAGAAGACTGAGTCTCTTGGGAGTTGAATGACTTACGCAAGGTCACCCAGAAGGTCAATGGCAAAGCTAGAAATAGAATCTAGGTCTTGTGACTTACAGTGTGTTTCTCCTAGATACGTGTTACCTCCTGAAATTAATATGTTAATGAAATTGCTTTATGGTGTATGTAATTGCCATTCAACTTCAAGTCTGGAATTAGCTTAGGCAAATCCTGTCATATTCCTCTGCACCTCCACCAACTCCCATATGCTCTAGTGCAGATACCATGTTATTCAGAAAGCAATAGTAAGCAGCTAAGAGTGTGTGAGTGTGTTTGTGATGGAAAGATCATTTATACCCTGGGCCTTGGGCTGTAGGTTGGCACATGATATCAAGAAACTATTTTAAGGTCGGTCCCAGAGAAATAACAGAAGACTCTCAAGGACTGTAAAATACAGTTTATGATCAGTATGAAATTCACATGCTTTATATAGAAAGGTTGCAAGATCAGAAAGTCTGATGTCCATACTGTGACTTTTTGGGTGGGCATATGTCTCTGCCTGCATCAGATTAACATTTCCCACTCTGTGTTTGCAAGCATTTCTGCATTTTTTTTTAATGCACACTACAGTTATGTAACATTTTTGTAAGCACACAAGATCCTGTAGTGTCTTCTGAAATTTCAGAGAAAAATGAGATGATATTTAGATTATATTTTTCTTAAGATTCAAATCCTTTTGCAAATCTTAAATTTGTGAATATAATATGGAGCGATGCCATTTATCAGAAGATTCAGTTCCCTGTCCATGTAAGAGAACAGTTTATGTTATATCCATTTCCTTCTTCATACAATTCGAATCATTGCTATGATTTTCTCAAGATAAGTTTATAAAGAGTGAAAGAATACAGACCATCATGTCACTGTCTTGCCCAGAAACTAAAAGCACGTACAAAATCAGTCTTAACCTGTGTAGCATTCACTGCACTTCAGAGGTTAGAGGCCCTTTGGTTTCCGCAATTTCACCTCAAGCATCTATATCAGCACTTTTCTATCCCCTGGAAAAGCTTAATGTTTGTATCTTTGTACTTCTGCTTCTGGTGTTGTGTGCTATGATTTATAAACTCTGTGCTCCTATTTGCTTGCCCAAATTCTGTCAGTTCCCTAAATCTCTCTTCATACCAGGATACAATTCTAAAAATTCTAAAACTTTTCTCATCACTGTTATCTTAACTGTATCTTGATTTAGGATCAGTGGACATGCCTTTGCTACTCATTTGTCAGTTCAGCAACTACTGCCCTGTGGCATCAATTTTATTGTTACCTTTTATGATATTTGAGTCTTCTTTTGCTTTTTGGCTTTTGAGATTTTTCTTTTAGTCTTCTCTTGTGTATTTTTTTTTTTTTTTTTGTATCTTTTACTGTCTGGTTTTCTCAGTTTTACTGTATAGTGTCCTAAATTTGTCTTTCTTTCTTTTGTTTTGTAACTAGATTTTTTTTTTAAATTTTAATTGTGATTTGGGTGAAAGTTTACGGAACAAATTCACTTTCCGTGCAGCAGCTCACATACACTTTGTCTCATGACGTTGACTTCTATTTCCCACAGTGCAACAGCTCCCCTCCCACTTCCTTCCCATAGTTAC